ATGATAGAGCAGGATTGAGGGGCTGAATGGTCAACTCCTGTTCCTATTTCATGTAATTTTGCAACATTCAGTATAATGAATGTTTGAGGAGGAGGATGAGGGGTCTGACCCCAAACCGCACCGCGCCCCCCACCACCACCCCTCTACAGACCTTTTCTTCTTCCTGTTTTTGTCTCCGTTTCTCTTCCACTGCAACTCTCTTCTGCTGCTCCTTCTGCCGTTGTTCTTGCAGTTTCCTCTGGCGTTCTTCCATTTGTTTCTCATACTGGAGTCGTATTTTCTTTTCTTTTTCTAGCATGTAAAGTTCTCTCGCAGCTGATGGTATAAATGTAAAACAACAGTGGATCAGTTATTAAAAAATATTAATGCCATTTAAATATTACCATGGCGACCTTCACTGTTCGATACTTCACACATCACTAATAACTTTATCCATTCACCTCAGGTCCTTTTCACTCAGGATACAACTTGTCTATCGAGATCCACTACTATCAACACTCTTGGGGTGATGAGGTATTGTAACCATTGATCAGAAATGAACAGTGGACTGCCATATAAATAAAGCAGCTGCTAGGTCAAAGTGGGGAGTAAAGTAACTTCGAGTCCCCAAAACCTGATCACCATCTAGAACACAAGTCGAGGGTGCGAAGCAATGCTCCCCCCTTGCCTGGAGGGGTGCAGCTCCAACAAAACACAAGCAGCTCGACACCATCCAGGTGGCATGGAGTAGCCTCCCTAACCCTGGACTGGGTTCAAGTCCCACCTGCTCCAGAAGTGTGTAATAATGTTTTTTAACAGGCTGATTAATAGGCTAAATTTAAAAAAATAAAGCAGCCCGCTTGATTGACACCGCATCCACCACCTTCAACATTCACTCCCTCCAACAGTGTTCCCCTTGATTGAGGGGTTAATCACAAGAGGGCATAGTTTAGGATAAGGGACAGGAGATTCACCGGGGGATTTGAGAATAAAAAAAACAAACTTATTTCTCCTCAGCAGGTGGTGGGAATCTGGAATGCACTGCCTGGGTAGGTCATGGAGGCCAGAAAACTTACAACCTTTAAAAACATTTTTGGTCAAGCACTTGAAATATCATAATGTTCAAGGAGGCAGTAAGGACTGCAGATGCTGAAAGCCAGAGTCAATAAATGTGGAGCTGGAAAAGCACAGGTCAGATAGCATCCAAGGAGCAGGAAAGTCAATGTTTCAGGCTGAAACCTTTCATCAGGACTGGAAGTTCAAGGATATGGGACAAATGTAGGAACTTGGGATTGGCGTGTCTTTAGTGGTTAAGTCATTGTCGATACAGACTCGATGGGCTGAAGGACCTTTACAGTGTTGTATTACTATGACTATGATTCATGAGACAAAACCGCAAAACATCTCCATATTCCTCCTATGCCTACACTCATTTCCACTACAGTCCCACTCCCACACTCTACTCTTCATTACTTGTCCCCAACCCGTGTCTCTAGACTCCCCTCTTCTCCATACCCTCCTCCCTTGCTCCCACACATTCCTCTACCTGAAAAGTTGTCACTCACCAATCTCTTTCTCCCTTTCCTCTCGCCGTTCCTTGGCTAGTCTCTGTCTTTCAACTGTCTTTAGCGTGGAGCCGTCTATCACTGATTAAGAGAAATCACATGATATTAGTGAGTAGAGATGATGAGCTGGTTGATGAGAATTTTATTTACTACTGACAAAGCAAACTTGTTGGAGGGACAGAGTGGCCAGTCAGTAGAAACACTTCTACTGATAGACTGAGGCTAAATGTATTTGGAACACTCGGCACTGAATGTAGCTGGAACATCAGCAACAGCTATGGTCTAGTCAATGATGGACTGTAACTAGTGACATGCTGCAGGGTTCAGTTCTCAGACCTCAACTATTTACAATCTGTATAAATGATCTGCAAACAGGGACAGAAAGTAACATAGCAAAATTTGTGGATGATACTAAAACAGATGGGAAAGCAGGCAGTGACAAGGCGATAAAGAGTTTACAGATGGATATCGACTGGCTAGGAGAGTGGGCCAGAATCAGGCATATGGAGTTTGATGTGGATAAGTGCGAGTTTGTCCATTTCTGTGGGAAAATAATAAAAGGGAAAATTATTTAAATGGGAGGCAGATTCAAAATGCAGAGGAATCTGGGTGTCCTTGCACATGAATCGCAAAAAGTGCGTATGCAGATGCACCATATGTCAAGAAAGGCAAATAGAATCTTGACATTTATTGCACAAGGACTGGGCTATAAAAATAAAGTAAAGTAGTGTTACTACAAATACATAAGGCACTGGTGAGGCCACATCTGGAGTAGTGCAGCCAGTTTTGTCTCCTTACTTCAGGAATGAGGTGGTGTCACTGGAGGCAGTTCAGAGGGGGGGGGGGGGTCACCAGATTGATTCCAGGGATGAAAGGGCTGTTGTACAAAGAACAGTTGAATAGCTTGGGCTTGTACTTGCTGAAGTTCAGAAAAATGATGGGGGACCTGATTGAGGTGTATAAAATTCTAAAAAGGATTGATTAGGTGAATGTGGAACAGATGTTCCCCCTTGTGGAACGTCTCAAACAAGATGCAATAGATACAGAGTGAGAGGAGATGTGTTCAAAACGGAGATTAGGATAGGGTTGTGAATCTATGGAACTCACTGCCCAGAGTGCAGCAGAGGCAGAATCAAGATTAGCAGAATCAAGATAGAAATAGATATGTTTCCGATGAAAAGCGCAATAAAGGACAATGTGAAGCTGGCTGGAAAATGGAGTGGAGACCAGGATAAGGTCAGCCCTATTATGTTTAATGGTGGAGCAGGTTTGAAGGGCTGAGTTACTTACTCCCACTCCTATCATCTAGGTTCCTAAATTGAAAAGCAAAACGTGTCTTGGACTCAGAGTACTTTTGATCAGTGAATCAAAAAGGAGGCAATAGTGCTCATCGACAACCAACTAAAACAACTGTGCAAAAAAAACTTATTGTCTGTTATCTTGTCCCAGACTCTTCCATAAGATTCCCAGTGAATTCTTCCATCCCAGCAATTGCAGCACCAGAACGTGAAGCTCTTTGGAAAGTAGGGGAGACACAAAGATACCCAGCAAGAGAGAAAGAATAGCAAAGTGTAGACTCTAGCAGAGAGATCAGCTCTATCATCTGAGAGAATAATAATTTTGATTTATCAAACCAAATCAGAGATACACAGCAAAGAGTCCATCCATTTCATTGTCCCTGTGCCGTCTCTCATAACCCCTACGCTTTGCTCAAAGTTTTTATTTACCCCACTTTGTGGGAGAGGGTGTGAGATTGGAAAATTGACACTCGGACTCAGATCATTGTGTATTTTGTTATGGGTATGAGCTGTCACTTTGCCTGGTGATAAAGAACCAGATGTTAAATGGCTACTTGCATGGTACTCTGAAGCATCCAAATGGAGTAAACTGTTTAAAACCGGTTTAAATGCACATTGGCTGCTGGTTTACAACGATCTAAACTAGACTGTGCACAAACTCTGGATGGACTTGCCACAGAATGGACATTGTTGACCCTGGTCATCTATCTCAACCTGTACCAATCAGCTCAGCAGGGATCCGGGTACCTGGTTTGTTTGGTGCCTTTGCAACGACTGGTGCTGGGTCAGAGGAAACGGGACTATTTACACTTTGGCTTCTTCTTTCCTCTGCTTGGGCTTGTGCTGCAGCCACTGAGAAAGAGAGAGAGAGAGAGAGAAAAACAAAATCTTTAAAATAATATAGCACAGGTGAGAGACACATGGCCAATTGTGCTTGTGTCTGCTCTGGGAAAGAGCAAATCACTATTCCTACTGTCCTTCTCTTTCCTCACTGCTTTGTACATTTTCCTTTTCAAATAATTCTCATTTGAAAGTCATGGTTGAATACGTGCCCACCACCTCTTCAGGCAGTGTGGTCACAACTATTGCACCGTAAATGTCAAAAAGGGAATCTTCTTGGATTCTGGTTCTTTTGCCAATTGTGCTCAATCTGTCCCTCTCTGGTTACTGACCCTATAGGCAATGGAAACATGGTCTCCTTATTTATTTTATCAAAAGCCTTCATGATTTTCACAATCTCTGTGAATTTCCTGTCAGACATCTCTGCTCAAAAGGTGAATAATTCCATCTTCTCCATGTAACTGATATCCCTCATCCCGTTCTAGTTTCTGCTTCCTAAGGCCTTGACATCTTTCCGAAAGTATGGGGCCTACAATTGAACAACCTAGCTGTGCCTTAACCCATGGTTTAAGGTTTTCTATGATCTCCAATGCTTTTGTACACTATTCCTCTATCAATAAAGCCTGGGGTTCCATATGGCTTTGCAACAGCATTCGCAGTTCGTCTTGCACTGTGTAAAGTTTGAGGATGTAAACTGTGTCTCAGCTGTTGTAATCCCATTAAAATTGAACTGTCATTCTTCGGACGAAAATATATCATTAGCAATTCTCTGTTAAACTTCACTAGTGATGCACTCGCCCACTTCATAGTAATAGTACACATCCTGCTAAAATCTATCTACGGCATAGTCACAAACAGTACAGTTTTTGAAAGAACAGACAGCACCCATTATGGTACACCAGTTCTGGATTGCAGTTTCTGAAAATGAATGAAACACCTTGACAACTGCTGATCAAATCTGAAAATACTGGACAATATGAGGTACTAGACATGCTTGCTGAGCCAGTGGGTTCGGTTGCAGACGTTTCATCACCCCGCTAGGTAACATTGTCAATGCGCCTCCGGTGAAACGTCCCGCTTGTTATTTATATGCCTCGGTTTGCTGGGGCGGTTGATATTACTTCCAGTTTGTACACAGGGTCCAATTCAATGTGCTTGCTGATGGAGTTCCAGTTGGAATACCAGGCCTCCAGGAATTCCCTGGCATATCAGTGTTTGGCTTGTGTGATTATCGATGTGTTATCCCAGTTGAATGTGCGTCCCGCAGTTTGGCTGATACGCGAGTAGCCCACAAACCGCCCTACAACAGCTACTGACAAATGTAAAGGATCCCATACACAAAACCAGCAAAACCGGGGTAATATACAAAATACCATGCAAGGACTGTAAGAAACACTACATAAGCCAAACCAGAAGAAAATTGACTACACGGATACATGAACACCAACTAGCCACCAAGAGACACAACCAATTCCCACTTGTCTCACTTCACAAGAGGGGACACATTCGACTGGGACAACACATCGATAATCGCACAAGCCAAACAGAGACATGCCAGGGAATTCCTGGAGGCCTGGTATTCAAATGAGAACTCGATCAACAAACATAGAATTCAATCCTGTGTACAATCCACTGAGAAATAAAACCGGAAGTAACAAGTGGAAACAGAATACCAACGTTTCACCGGAGGTGCACTGACGATGTTACCTAGCAGGGTAAGGAAACATTTGTAACCAAACCCACCGGCTCGGCGAGCATGTCTACAACCTCATCCATAACCCAAGCTACAAATTTTCTCGAAAACTTTAAACTGGACGATACTTCCAATTCATTGTTATTGACAAAAAGACAAATAAAATGTTGGAAATATTCATTCAATAGCATTGGCATCATCTGAATTAACATTTCAGATTGATCAGATTTCCAGCATTTGCAATTTGTATAGTTACATGTGGCATCCCAGTGTATGGGATAACAGGGAGATTCTCCAAGGCATATTACTAAAACAGCTGTTGTTAACCGCAATAGTTATACTTTAGGTTTTTATATCAAAAGCAAAATACAGCAAATGATGAAAATCTAGAAAACAAAATGCTGGGGAAACTCAGCCGGTCTTGCAGCATCTGTGGAGAGAAAAACAGGGTTACATTTCAAGTTCAACGATGATTTTTCAGAGCACAGATCTGAACACAGTTCTAATGAGATGACGATGGCCTTGTGGTATTATCATCAGACTGTTAATCCAGAGATCCAGGTAATGTTCTGGGGACCCAGGTTCGAATCACACCACAGCACATAATGGAATTTGAATTCAATAAAAATCTGGAATGGAGAGTCTAATAATGATCATGAATCCATTTTCGATTGTTGGAAAAACCCATCTGGTTCACTAAGCCCTTTAGGGAAGGAAACAGCAATCCTTACCTGGTCTGGCCTGCATGAGACTCTAGACCCAGAGCAATGCGGTTGACTTTTAAACCGGCCTCTGGGATGGGCAATAAATGCTGGCCTAGCCACTGCTGCCCTCATCCAATGAGGAAAATAAAGACAAGTCATTGGAATCAAAACTGTTTCTCTCTCTACAGATGCTGCCAGACCTACAGCATTTTACACTATTAGATACTTGTTTTCAGAATGAGACAAGTGAATACCACTGCCCATCACCTGTCCTCTCAAGGGCAGCTGCAGTGTGGCACTGCACTCATACGCGAAGCAAGCCGATTGGGTGCAAGGGTCAAAGGAACAGAGGAATAGAAGTAGGCCATGCAGGCCCTCGAGCCTGTTCCACCATTCAATCAGATCTGTGGCTCTTAGATTTAAAATTAACAACTGATCCAACATCAACTGTTATTCGTGAGAGAGAGTGTGAGAGAGCGAGATCCAAACATCTACCACCCTTTTGTTTGTAGAAATGCTTCCTAACATCTCTCCTGAACAGTCTGGTCCTAATTTTCACATTATGCCCTCATTCTGTTCTAGAATCTTCAAATAGTGGAAATAGCTTATCTTTACCCACCCTGTCTTTTCTTGTTAATGTCTTGAAGACTTTAATCATATCACACCCCTAACCTTCTAAATTCTAGAGAAAATAGGCCAAGTTTGTAAAATCTCTCCTCATAACTTAACCTCTGAATCCCAGGCATCATTCTTGTAAGCCTGTGTTGCACTCGCTCCTAGGCCAAAATATCGTTCATAAGGTGTGTCTGCTCTCAGCAGGGTCTGAACAGCATTTTGTAAGACTACAGCATAACTTTCACATCTGCATACTCCAGTCCTCTAGATATAAAGGCCAGCATTCCATTAGCTTTCTTGATTTTTACCTGCACCTGTTCCTGGCATTTTAAAGATTTATGCAACTGAAGCTCCAAGTCTCTTTGGACAGCCACTGTTTCTAACTTCATATCACCTAGAAATTACCCAGATCTTTATTTCAGAATCCCCTTCCCCTCCCCCATTTCTGAAGCAGGGTCTCGACACGAAACGTCAGCTTTCCTGCTCCTCTGATGCTGCCTGGCCTGCTGTGTTCATCCAGCTCTACACCTTGTTATCCAATGTTTTTCAGTTGTTTTATCCATTAGCAGATTTTCCCAGATAACTGTGGACAGTCTATGTCTCATCTCTTTAAAGTCAGCCTTACACAAACCAAAAAAACCTTCGTAGTTGTTTCGTGCTTTTTGCTTTCAAATACTACATTGAACTCAATCATGTTGTGATCGTTACATAATAAATGTTCATGCACCATTAGTTTACTAATTAAATCTGGCTCATTATTAAATCCAAATTTGCTTGTCCCCTTGTTGCATTCAGGGCATATTGCTTCCCCAAAGAAATGTAAGCGTTCACTTTTGATGAGCCTGAAAGATTTCAATCATCTCCTGATGCTAGACCACAAACCATCAATATTACATTTCGCACAATGTATTCTTGGCCTCTAAATTGCTAGTTCGCTACCATAAGCACAGCACCATCATACCTATGCTATACAGTCATAGAATCTACATCACTGATAAAAGCCCTTCAGCCCATCATATCTGCATTGGTCAAACAGAACCATAATTATTCTGATCCCATTTCCAATTGTCTTGTTTGCCTCTGCATCACAAGTGCACATCTAAATACTTAAATGTTATGAGGATTTGTGGTTCTAACACCCTCACATGCAGTCAGTTCCAGATTTTCACCACCCTCTGGATGAAAAAAAATGTTTCCTCGTCTCCTCCAGACCATCTGCCCATTACCTTAAATCTATGCTCCCTGGTCATCGATCCTTCCAACAAGGGGATAGTTTCCTTCCTGTCTGCCCTTCTACTCTCCACATAATTTTATACATCTCAATCATGTCTCCTCAGTTTCCTCTGCTCCAACACCAGTGACCAGCCCATCTTTATTTTGTAATCTAAGGCAATCCTGCTCACTATTTACCACCCAACCGATTTTTATATCAACTGCGAATTTACCGATTACCCTCCCACATTCAAGTCTAAATTAATCTTAATTGACTGAGTGGCAGGGAGAGGGTCTTTGATACAATTAAAGAAATTAGCATAGACAGACAGGAGGTTGAGTGGACTGGTAGTCTTGAAAGTAGATAGGGCCAAACAGCAAGGGCCCCAACACTGACCCCTGTAGGAAAACAATGGACACAGACTTCAAGCTAGAAAAACACCCCTCAACGGCCACTCTGGATCCAGAATTGGCGGAGTGGCAGAGAGTAACTTGTCAAATTTCCTACGATCCCACGGGGTCTTATCTTTGCTATCAGTCTCCCATGCGAGACCTTATCAAAAGCTGTGCTGAAGTCCAAGTAAATTTCATTAAAAGCACTGCCCTCATTCACACACCTGGTCACCTCTGAAAAATTCAAATCAAGTTGGTCAGACACAAACTCCTCTTAACAAGACCATTCTAACAGTTCATGATTAATCCCTGCCTCTCCAAATGCAGAGTAATTCTGTCGCTCAGAATTGTTTCCAACCATTTCCCTACCTTAGGAGGTTAGACCGACTGGCCTGTAGGCTCCTGGTTTATCTTTTGCTCCCTTCTTGATCAACAGTACCATATTGCCTGCCTTCTGGTACCTCTCCTGTGGCCAGTGCCCCTGCTATGTCCTCCCCACCTCACTTAACAGCCTGGGTTATATTTCATCCAATCTGGAGATTTACCTACTTTAAGCCTGTCAAACCACTCAGAACCTTCTGTCTGTCTCTGCTAATTTCTTTAATTGTATCACAGGCCCTCTCCCCAATTTCCATACTTGTCCCTCTCACTAGTGAGCACCAACACAAAGTATTCATTTAAAATCCTACCTACATCCTCTGGATCCACACACAAATTACCACCGTGGTCCTTAAGTGGACCCCACTCTTTTTCGTCAATATCCTTTTACCCTTAACGTACTTGTAAAATAACTTTGGATTTTCCTTTATTTTATGGGCCAGTATCCTTTCATAGCCCCTTTAGCTTTCCTAACCTCCCTCTCGCACATTCTATACTCCTCTAGGACCTCTGCTGTTTTGAGCCCTCAGTATCTGCCATAAGACTCCACTTTTTCTCTGAATCCAATGCTCTATATCCCTTAACATTCAGGGTTCACAGGATTTGTTCCACCCTTTTCCTTTATTGGGAGATGTTGGCCCCATACTCTCCATATTTTCTTCCTGCACCCCACTGTTCAGAGACAGATTTACTCTCAGGTTCTTCCGAACCATGGTGGCCAAGTCATAGCTGATCTTATTAAAGTTAACCTTCACCCAGTTGAGATCTTTGTTTTCAGGCCCATTCTTGTCCTTTTCCCTAATAATCTTGAATCTCTGAGTTATGATCACGTCAGCAAAACACTCCCCACTGATACTTCAAACACTTGCCCAGGTTCGTTACCCAAAATCAAGTCCAGACCATCCCCTCTCTTCAAGGTCCTCTCCGTACTGGCTCACAAAGCTTTCCTGATGCACGTTAAGAAATCCGCCCGCTCCAAACCTGTCACACAATGACTACCCCAGTTAATGTCGGAGAAGTTGAAATATCCTGTGATCCTACTACTCTTACAATTTCCTGAAATTTATCTACATATCAGATTTTCTACTTCTCTTGGACGGTTAAGGGATCTACAGTACACTCCCAGCAATGGGACTGCTCCTTTTGTGGTTTTTAAGTTCTACCCATATGGCTTTATTTGAGAAACCTTCTAAGATGTCATCCCTTCTTACTGCTGTAATAGATTCCTTTATCAAAATTGTGACACCTTCTCTTTGACCTCCTTCCCTGTCTCGCCTGAGGGCCATGTATCCTGGGATATCGAGCATCCAATCTTGCTCCTCTCTCAACCACGTCTCATTGACGGCAATGATATTGTACCCTCATGTTTTAATTTGTGTCCTCAACTCATCTGCTTTGTCAACCTCTTTGCATTAAATTAAATACCATCCATGACAAATTCCCTTGTGCCTTAATTTGCCTGTAATGTCAATGCCTTCCTGTCACTTCTAATTTTAGCCATTCATCTTCCGTTGCTGAACATTCTCTCTGGATCCCAAAAGACCGTCAAGGTACTTTCAACTCTTCCCCAACATCATCAATATCATCCCCCGCAAGGATGTTGGTCCCATTCCTGTTCCCTTTCACCTTGTACGGATCCGACTGCCCTTCAAAACAGTTTCAACGTCCCAGAAATCTGAAGCTCTTCCTCCTGCACCATCTCTCCTGCCACATATTCACCTAGTCTAACCTCTACTCACTTACACAGAGCACTGGAAGTAATTCAGCAATTACCATCTTTTGGGTCCCATTCTTTAATCCACTTCCTAAATCCTGCTTTCAGGACCTCACCCCTTTTCCTTCCAATATCATTGGTACCAAAAGCCCACCATGACAGATGGTAGAATTTGAATTCAATAAAAATGTGGAATCAAGGGTCTAATGATGGCCATGAAACCGCTGTTGGAAAAACCCATCTGGTTCACTAAAGTCCTTTAGGGAAGGAAATTGCCATCCTTACCTGGTGTGGTCTACATGTGTCTCTAGATCCACTGCAATGTGGTTGACTCTTAACTGCCCTCTGGGCAATTAGGGATAGGCAATAAATGGTGGCCTTGTAAGTGACACCCAGATCCCATTAATGAATATAAAAAATACACCATGATTTCTTTGTGCTTACCTTCCCCCTTCAGAATGCCTTGCAACCAGTGACATCCCTGATCCTGCCACCAGGGAAGCAACACATTATTCTGGACTCTTTTGCTGCTGCAAAAGTGCCCATCTGTTCCTCTAACAATTTAATCCCTGGTATTCTTTTTCCTCCCTTCTTGTATAGCAGACCCACCCACGGTACCGTGAAGTTAGCTGCCACTGCTTTCTCTTATACAGTCGTTCCCCCAGCATATCCAAAACTAGTTTATCTGTTAGAAACAAGGGCAGCCATTACCTGCTTTCCTCCACTCTGCCTAGTGGTCACCCATCTCTTTCTACCTGCTTACTCTGCACTTGTGATGTGACCAACTCATTGAATGTGCTATACACAACTTGCTCCACTTTGTGGATGCTCCACACTGAAGCCACCGGCAGCTCCAGTTCCAAAATGTGGTTAGTCAGGAGCTACAGCTGGACACACTTCCTGCACATGGTCACCAAGGACAACCAAAACTTTATGAACTGAAGAATTCTGAAGGGTCACTGGGCCAAAAGCATTAACTCTGCTTTCTTTCCTCACATGCTGCTGGACCTACTGAGTTTTTCCAGCAATTTCTGCTTTTGGTGAAAACTGAAGCTTTAATGATTTACAACTAGCACAGGAGAAGCAAATCATGGGTGAGAGCTCTGCTGCAATGGCTTCTGTTAAACGCCTTAGTAACTCTTTAGAAAAACATAATAATTATGTAAGAATGCATTAACTTATATCCCCTATACTACTTTGCTGACATATTCCTTTGTTATATTGGCTCTAACTTTCATCCAAAAAAAACTTTAAAACCACAAACTAAATCAACAGACTTTCCTGTAATGTCATGTTTTGACTTGTTATCTCAGTCAGCTGTCCCCTGACATTACAGCTGTTGAACTAGGACTCCCTTCTCTCTGCTCAGTGGAAGCTGAACTATTACAAACTATAAACCCTGAAAAGGACTGTACAAACAAACAAAATAAAACAAAACACACCTCTTTGCCTGTGCATTGAACTCCCACGAAGCATTTAATTTCCAGTATCACTCAGGCTGTACCTTCTCCCAACTGTTTGAGGAAGCATACTGATCATGTGCTTTTCACAGTTCCTTTCTTAAATAGAGCTGGGGTGAGCTGAAATTACTCTCACTTGTTAAACTTCAATAGTAATTACCACTATTGAGGGCCTATTTAGGCTTCAGGTGATTGACAGTTAACTGTTCTCGGTCAGCTGAGCCAGCAGTCTTGTTAACCTTTTCATATATAATTGAACTTAAAAAAACCGTGATGCATTAAATTTCCAATATCTCACTCTCGCTTGGGTGGCACCTCACTCTAGAAATGCCCTCTCCCAATTGCTTGTGGAAAGCGTAGATGCTATATGTTAAAGAGCTAGATCTTAGGGGCACGTTTGGAACCTCTGCAATACCTGCGTGCCTCAGCCTTGCTCCCACCCAAAGTAAATACAGTTACTGAGCAACCTCGTCAAAGCAAAGCAATCTCTACATACTGGTGATAACATTTCACAATAGTACACGGCCAGCATTCCATACCAGACACAGAGGACTAAGTAATTTCCCCCAAGGAATGGGTGTAATATACTACAGGGTGAGGATGGAGTTCTCCAGAGCTCAAAAATGTGTCCATACTTTACCCACCAATTAATGAAGTGGATTATTTCCGAGTAATATCTTCTCCTGTTTGAATCCTCTGATACTTACTGGCCTGCAATTTATTTCCTTGCCTTTAAGAAGGGTGGGCGAGTTACTCCCAGCTCTGGGTAAACTTATTCCAGAATGATGCTTGCTAAATGCACAACCTTTAGAACCAGAGGCTAGAATGTTACAAACTGAACTACACAACATTCACCAAGTTAAACTAACAAAGCAATGCAGAGAGGGGACAAGCACAGCTTCCAGTCATTCACCCTAAAATTATTTCTAAACCGTATTATATTCCTTAAATTGATAAGCCAACCTTGCAGACCCGGAAGAACAAGTAACTGACTCCAACAACAGAAACACGAAGAGCATGTAACTTCATCACATGACTCCCAGCACAGTTAGCAGTATTAACAGAGTTGAACATTTATTTAATTAGCTATACTCAGAAATACATGATGTAATTTGTGATGAATAAATAAACATAACTCAGACCTGCAGGTTACAACAGGGTCACTGCACTGTTGGCAAAACACTGGAAGCAAGCTCATTCTAAAGACTGCCTCTTGATGCATTATGAAGTCCGAATTAAACTCTGTACTCGATGTACTTTGTAAAACAGACAGGAAGTGACTCAAGTTATAACCATGGCCAAAATATAATCAAAACTGGGGAATCTATGGGGATTTAATAGCAGCAATTATTAGATTGGATGTGGACGAGATTAAGAGAGAAAGATAGAAGGATTTGAGCGATATTAAGGACAGAAACCACTCATTTGCAGCTCGTTTCATCACCATTTGAACAGAACAGGTCAAATGATGCCTCAATTCACTTATCCATTTTTGTTCCATACCCCTTGTGCAACTAGAAAAAAAATCTCAGTTTTGAAACCTGTAACTCAACAGTTTTTTTGGGGATGATGGTTAAAAAGAAAGGAAAGAAAACCATGTTCCCAATTTCCACTACACCTTATACAAAGTACTTCCCGATTTCACTCCCGAGCAGCCTAATGATAATTTACATTCTCTCAAGATGGACAGCCCCACTAGACAAAATTGCTTCTATCAACTCTACATTTAACATTTTAAACCTCTTCAATGAGTTCACTCAATCTTCCTTATCTGCAACAAGACATCGTTTGCCATCAGGGTGGTGGAAATTCCCCTACTGCACTGATGTAGCAACCTGGATTACATGCCAAGTGCTACGAGTGAAACTTGAACCCATGATTTACTGACTCAGATGAAACCTTCAAGATGAGGCAACTGCCTCCAATAACTTGATGCATCAGTGGGACATATGTAGAAGTCAAGTGAGAAGCAAGGGACACCCCCTCTGATTGTTGCAAGGGGCCTTTATTGAGATAATGCACTTTGTTGCTGCATAAAAATTGCATATGGAATCTTAAGGAAAGCTTTGAAGTTACAAATTGTAACTTATTTGTGAAAAGCAAAGCAGTCCATTTCATCATTACTTTTAAACAGGGGAGAGAACTTCAAACACTTTTCCAAGTATTCCCTACATTACATGAACTACACTTCATAAAAACCAAAGAACTGCAGATGCTGTAAATCAAGAACAAAAACAGAAGTTGCTGGAAAGGCTTAGCAAGTCAGAAAGGTCACCAAACCTGAAACATTAACTCGGACTTTTCTTCACAGATGCTGCCAGACCTGATGAACTACACTTCATTAGTCTTCCTGAGAATATGCAAGTGGCTATAGGAATTCTAGTCTGCCTTTATCAAATCTATTAGCCCAAGATCCCTCCTCCTATTGCCTGCTTACTAGTTAAGCAATAACACTGGGAGGTGATGGCCCAAATGGTATTAGTCGCTAGGCTATT